AGCAGGTTTGAAAATGGCTAACCTACTTCCAGAATTACCTTATGTTTTGTAACTGCACTTCTTTGATTAATATTCACAACTTAATCTACCGTAGATACAACTCCACATTCCGTGTTCTGTAGTTCCGTGTTCTGTATTTATAATTTCGTGTTTTGCAGTCGTTAACTGTATTCACTCACATAAATTCAGTGGGTTCAGTTTCACATTTCTGTATTCCCGGCACCACAGCTAAGGTTTCTGTAGTCACCACTCTGCTCTCCAGAGCTGTAACCTGTGGTCTGTAATCTTATGACTGTAATTATAGCTTAATGAGCCATATCTGTAACCACATTAATTAGCTATATTCTTACAGATAAGTGTGTAGTAGCCTTGGGTTCACATTCTCGCATTTTCAGAATCATTGTTTACTGCTTTGAAACATTGTTTACTGCTCCTTTTCTTTAGCTAGAGCATCGCGCGTCGGTTTCTAAAGTTTATTGTTGGCGAAGTGGTTCATAGCCACGAAGTGGTTCATAGCCACAAAGACGAGTTGTAATTCTGTACAGAGGCGAATAGTATGGGCAGGTCTTCTTACATCCACATCTGGGTGATGGTTGAATGTTTGGCTAGTGGGAAGGGGACTTTGAAAAGCCAAAGACTTCCAGTTTGAGACATTGGAATACCTTCCTGACACAGGTTTACCTGTTTCCAGTACCGGAATATCTGTCCACAACACCTGTTGGAAGGTTCGCTACATCGGTATCTTTCCGTGATACAGATATCCCATAGATAAGTGTTCTCTATGCGCGTATACAACATATATTAGTGCCCCATTACAATATTTAAGTGTTCCATCCCATTATCACATGCAGTTTCTTCGGTGGCATCGAGTAACGAAATGTGTGAGCTAGCAGACACGGAACACAGCATCGCTTATCGACACTTATCATTCGCTTGGAAACGCCGGTGTAGCTCCGTTAGTGTAATATAAGCTTTACTGAGGAGTTATATAAATGATTTTACAGTAGTATAAATTGTTACAAAAATTCTGAGGGCACATATATATATGTTGTAGGCTTAGTGTTGATAACCTGTGTAGGCGATGTGCAGTAGTGCGTGATGTGCAGTGTCTTCTTAGCGTGTTTCTCCTTTCAAAAACATCACGTGTTTCTTAACCGTCTATCTTCTTTCTCCCACTATCCCCCTCTCACTTCCTCCCTGGTTACCTCTCTCCCTCCCTGGATTCCTCCACGAGTGCGTGTGGCATGCCTCCAGCTGCGCCCCCTCCCTACCCCCTTCCCACACAGTGACTGGCATGCTTCTCAGTTCTCACAGCTCACATATCATCCCAACTTTCCTCCATGGCCAGTGTGATGTGCCCTCATGTTTCCCTGATTCATCTTCATGTATTACCCTTGAATCACGTATCTCAGGCACCAGTAGCAATCCCACACAGGTCAGCTGAGGCCCAGAGTCACCCGGAGTGCCAAGTTAGTTCACTCCTCGTAGCCTCATCTCAACACGTCGCTATATAAAGGTGACTCCTTTAAGTGTCGTGCCTTGACGCCAGTACAGGGCTCTTGACACAAGAGTTGGAACTTCCCTTCCTGATTGCCTCCCATTACCCAGGCACTGTGTAACCCCTACAGGTTTAACGTTTCCCCCATGTATATAATAAAAGATAAACTGGTTCACTGAGTCGTTCGAGGGACCCAACTCTGCTAGGAAATCTTGCGTCCTCTTGTTTCCTTCTGTCTCTTCAAGGGGACGTTCAGAGAAGGCCGTATCTCCATAAGTAATGGATGAATTATTTTAAAGCAAAATAATTTCATCAGGACTAGGAATATCAACCAAGTTTCCAAATTTGTACATGAAAAATGTCAAAGTACTTTTTTCCCCAATCAAAATTATATTTTCGACAAAATGGTGCGTTTAAATGTTCCTCTTCAGGGCGAGGGTATTCACATTATTTTGTTTACCCCACCAACACCATATTAAAATATCATACTTAAGATATTTTAAAATAGGCTTCAAATTAAGAAAAAGTAATTAAAAAATAATTATTTCCAAATAACGAAAACGAATATGCCCAATGAAAGTTCCTTTTTATCAAAAATGTGATGGAAGTAAGTTATTTATACGTTCGTGCATTTATCAAAGAAAATATATTTAAAAATATATATAATTTACAAAAAAAAATTATCAAAATTATTAATTTTCAAAGAATTAATTTTAGGTTTTTGGGAAACTCCGTTTGCATCTATTTGTGTTTCTCCCTCTTACCCTTACATTAATATTTTAAATATAATATACTAGGCTCCTATTTTTCCCCCCTTGAATTCGACAATCTACCGAACGCCCACCTTATAAGACAGTTGGAAATTAAGCCAGTAAAAGCCTCGCCTTTGTTTTTCATGTACCAGTATTTTGTGCTTTTATGCAGCGAAATGGTTTATCCCGGACACTGTTTTCAAATGTTATCTCCTTGTTATTTCTGGAGTTTTTTTTTTTTTAATCTGTTTTGATGGATGAAAAATGATTAACGAACTTATGTATACAGAAATTCCTAATGGCGAGGTTGTAGACTGTAGTGAAGTAAGAGAAGAGGTTCATAGAACGTACGTCCTGATGGTGGGGCTTTAGATCCCAGTGAATTAGCATGCTATTATATTTACCTGTAACCATTCGGCCTTGAACGTTCGCCAACGTCTGCTCGGCTGTGAACGTTCACCTATTAACATTCGCCAGTGACTTGTTTGTGAGCGTTTATCAGTGAGTTCGCCCGTAAACGTTCGCCAGAGCCTCTTCACCTATTGAGCGCGCCAGTGACCGTTCACCACTTGTGGTGACTAAGAGCCACCCACAACCTGGCGCCTCAGCTGACTGTGTAAGGTGTCTCGCTTGTATCACGCCGCCGCCTCACCCAACTCCTTGCACCTCCCACACATCTGGGCCGCACCATCCAAATGCTAGGCCTACGACGCTCACATGGTAGGCCTACTACACCTGCTTAATACGTGTCGCCTCCAGAAATAAGTTAGAAGTCAGTGCTGTCCTACCTTGCATACTGGAAAGCAATTTTCCTCTTTTCAAACTGCATACAATTGTCAATTCTAAGAATATTATTGTTCATGAAAGAGGTCTGACAAATTAGGAGGCGCCTGAAAATTCGCTTTCTCATGGAAAACAATTAACTTATGTAAATTATTAGTATTTTTTTCTTTTTTTTTCACCCAAACTCTTATGTATTTTATTTTTCACCAATTTTTTTCACCCAAAATCTTCTATTTTTTTTATTGTTCAACCAAACCCATTTATTTTTTCACCCATACTCTTCTATTTTTTTTTTTACCTAAGCTCTATTATTTTTTTACCGATTTTATTTTTTTTTTTTATTTTCACCCAAACTCTTCTAGAAATCTGAGGTAACTTTCTTGTCAAATTTCCGTAACATAAATTCATCTAGTGGTAAAACAAGACACATACAGCAAAACGATACGTTTATTAATACGATGTTTCACTTACATGAGGCTATATCATGTATTGGTAAAGTTTTATGTAAACACTAAAGAACGAATTATATTTGTGCAGTAATACATATCGTACTAATAAAGGTCTCTCCTTTTGCTATATGTGTCTTTTACGGCTAGTCGGCTACTCCATACTTCAACTAATACATTTAAGACTTTTCACAATTTTAGTTGTTTTCCCTGGGGTCGAATCTTCAGTGAGAAAGGTGGTGTGGCTGAGGTTGGTGGGGTGGTGCGGGTCAGGGAAGATCACCCACTTAGCAGGGGCGTCGTCCGATGCTGCCTCGTTGATGCATGATTATACTGTGTGGTTAATAATGGGAATGTGTTTGATTTATTTTATGATTTTGATCAAAACAGATGCTGTATGTTGACGCTGTCAGGTAAGACACCAAATCCTATTCCTGTTTATATCCCGTCCTCTACCCCGTGCCTTGAATGATAGTTTTACGTGTGTGAACGAATTTGTCCTTGATGTTCACCCGTCTATGAGAATGCACCGCTCACCTGTGTGTTGCCACTGGACCCGTAACTGGGGACTTGATGAATATTTTTTTTGGCAATTTCCTCACCATCCTCTGTGACACGCCAACACTTGTTCACCCTGCTGCTCTTTATCACGAGACGTTGCCAGGCATTAGAAAAGAGTAGTTCTGAGATATTAAATGATAATGATATATTACAGTGATGTAAATGGAGATAGTATCCTACATCCAAGCGGAACTCCGCAGTCATCAGGTTCCCAGTTAAGTCTACCTTCAAATTAAAGAACTTGTCCGTTTTATATGTAGTCAAAATTGTGACGAGCGCATGAGCGTAAATGCCAAGGCAGAAGTCGGCGAAGTAGGTGAAAAATATTTGTTCTAATAGTCAAAATACAATGTGGAAAACCTCATGTTAATAGTAGGCCTTCGCCAACCCTGCAGGGAGGCATTTGAATGTTGCCTTATACTATAAAAAAATGCACAACCCTTAGATTCTCTGAAGGCTTTGCCGTAGATTATTGATAGCCTTCAGGATATCCAAGGGACCGGGATTAGTATATTGACATGCATATATCCCTGAACAATTATGTATATTGTGCAAGTTTTGCCTGCAGAAGATAACCAGCTGTATGTTTAATTTCAAGTGCCGTGCCTGCGGGGGATTCAGGGGAATGCTAGGCTTAACACACTGACCAAGGACTAGACCCAAGGGAAGGGCAAGAGGGTGGAAATGTCCATAAACTTGTTTCTCCTTTGCAACATTTGATGCGCTTGAAATCTGTATGATCATTTTTGCCTTATAAATGTTTCATTTCATAAGTTGTTAATATAGATGTAGTAACAATTTAGATTTAATTGAACTTAAAGTCAATCTGGATTAAAGGTATAATTAGCAAGTCACCCTCTGTATTAGAAGAATTGACGGGAGACTTCGATAAATTAAACGTTTACTAAGCAACTTGGGTTTGCCTTTACCTGTAAATAGACTGATGTGGTGGACTTGCAGGACTCGTCGATTGAACCTGATGAGATGTTGGCTCTCAAGCTCAAGAACCAGGATTCCAACCCTTTCATAGACCCGATCCAAAAACACACCGTTGTCGACATGAGAGGTAAGTCGGTTCAGCTAATAATTAATCCCCTTCCCTTTCACCAGAAAAAAAGTGAAATATAGCTTTGCAAATTCTCGAATAAGCTACCTGTAGCAAAGTCATATTACGACCTTTTTTATTTTTTTTTTTTTTTTACCCTCTACCCCTCCAGGTTGGTGTGTTAGTTTTAAGTAAAGAAAAAAATCCGTCCTAAAACTTGTGCACCCTAAGGCTGCTTGGTTAGATTTTTTTTTTTTTTTTTTTTTTTTTTTTTTTATAATTAGTGCACGTGTAAATGATACTTCCCATATAATATTAACTATATCCTGCTGAAAGGAAGCCCTTACGGCAAACGCTATATTATTATATTATAATCAAAATGAAGCGCTAAGCCACAGCAAACGCTATAACATTTATCAGAAAACGTTTCGGTTTTATGTCCGTTTTCTAATAAATATACCCTAGTTTTTGTCCACGTCTTTTTTAATTATTTGTATGTATCAATTACCAAAATTATACTTTGTAACTTGATAATGGCCCAGGACGGCCCGAAAAGTTTTCACTTTCTATTTGTGGATTGTGAATGTCCTGTCGTTTTCCCTTATTTACATTTACTTTCCGGGCAGCGGCACTTGTTTTAATAAGCTTGCTTTAACCGTGTAACTTTTGTTAACAATTGCCTGTATTGGAGAAACAAAATATAGTCAATAGGACACTGGAGGTTGTAGTGGCCAAGGTCCTAGCTAGGATCCTAACATTTCCTACAAAACATGTCCTAGTGATTGCCTTAGTGTCTTTGTCCACTAGAGAAAAATAGATGTATATCTTTATATCCACATACCTTTATATATTTATATGCAGTTATATCATATACCTTTATATCCAAATGTATGTGTTGTTTCGACAGACGTAATGGTTCTGAACGACATCATAGAGCAGGCAGCAGCACACGCGGGGAGACAGAGCCGAGCCAGCGACCATGGTGGTAAGCTTTACTATCAACCTCTCTTCTTTGCCCGTTCATATCAGCCATCTAGCTCGTCTGTAGCCTATGTCTAATATTTGATTTCCTCGATCCCAGGCTGTAGCTAGTGCATTGCAATTTTTTTTTCAGAGTTATTATTTATAATGAACAGTGTTTCATTCAAGCGGTGTTAACTGTAGGCATGGCGAGTGTGGCTCAGTTGGAAGCCTTTTTCCGTGTGATGTTAAAAGGGGGCGTTATTTTTTTCAATGTTTTCATCTCATATTGACTGCAAATTAGATTATTAAACGTAATGCTATAGCTAGCCTTCTTTCCTATAGGCTCTTGTCAGTGTCCTTAGTTATATTACACTGGATAAAAAATATTGTATTAATATATGTATTCAGATACTATTATTGTGTACATCTGAACAAGTGGGACGTAATCAGGTTTGATCCAAGGAGGGGTAGCGCCTATTTCTTGGATCAAGAGCCCTTCATCATCAAGGGACCCGTCACTCTGGAAGGGAAATGAATAGGATGAAAATGCTTAAGAAAAAAACGCCACCCAAAGTGTAGCGCAACAGTTGTCCTGGTAGCCATAATGAGTAGACTAAAGTCACCATATGTTACTGTGTAAAATAGCATCATCTTGCCCTCCGTTGTTTTGTGCATGCTTTATTCAGTTAATGGAGGTTGTTTTATATTTTAATTGTTATAATGGTGGCTCGATTTGATCTAATGTATTATCAATACATCTTACCCAGTTGTGCTTTACGAAGAATTCCTAAGTACATAACTTGAATTGTTTATGTATTGATTGAGAACTGCTGGCAGAAAATACTGACTGAAAATGTTTACGTTCAGTGAATGGATTTAGTATAATATAACTTGGAGTAGACTCCAGTCAAGAAAATAAACATGGCATTAGAGGGGCTAGAGAAATTCTCAACTAACCAACAAATTGGAAAGGATGACTAGACGACGTTTTAGTTCGTCATGAATCATAGTCAAATTGCTTGTGGCTGGATAATCGTCCAGGACGAACCAAAACGTCATCTAGTTTTTATTTCCAGTATGAATGTTCAGTATGAGTTGTGCTAGTCGACATGGAGTAAAAATATTCAGTAGCCAGCAGGTCTCGGCAGTCTGCATTGCCCTGTAACTCCATGTCAGAATCCTCTTTATAACCTAGTTGTTTTTGTGGCCTCCTCCTCTCCACCTACACTTCAACATTTGGTAGATGACGAGGGTGCGTACTTCTTCTTTGTTATTATTGATATTGCTGTAACTACTTCACGTCACTCACTAGACTAGAGGCCTATCTCACTAAACTAATATAAGTTTCTATATATCAGTCACTCGATCTTTAACAGTCTTACTTTATCTCTTGAATGTAGGCAACGCTATGCTCTTTATGTATAAAATTATATATATATATATATATATATATATATATATATATATATATATATATATATATAATATATATATATATATATATATATATATAATATATATATATATATATATATATATATATAATACACGAATATACGTAATTTAATCAACCTATTGATAAAGTGCGACTGTTCTTAGTTAGTAAAGTCACAAATATTTCTCAAACTAACGCACCCTACTTCCACTACTACTACTGACCACTACCACTCTTCTCGTAAACAGTGCTCTCAGCTACTGCTACTAATAGAATATGCTGCTACTAAAAATTATAAGTTATGCATCTACTGCTACTGTTGCTACAGTTACTATTACTACTGTCACTGCTACTACCACTACAGTTATTAATACTACTGGTACAACTTGTGCTAATACTACTTTGCTGATACTGGTACAATTTGTGCTAATACTATTACTACTACTGATTTTGATTCTTTTTTATTACTACTACTACTACTACNTACTACTACTACCTACTACTACTACTACTACTACTACTGCTGCCTGCTGGCTGCTGCTATAACTACTGCTGCAACTACTGTTTGTCCTACTAATACTGTTTTCCTTTCACTAATATCACTACTACATATGCTACTTTCACTATTGCTCCTACTTATAATTTTTCTGCACCTATTGCTTCTACTACCCCAACTGCTTGATTAGTCGGGTATAAAGCCTGTCGACTACAGTCAGAAAGGCTGCATGCAACCTACTCACCACTGGTCAAGGATAATTTAATCCCTAAAATGGACGTCTGGGGATTAAGGCAGAGTTTGTGTATATGTACACTGAGATATATGCTCCAAATGTACATGCACTGTTGCTCTCGGAGCACACACATAACTAGTCATATTCTCAGAGTATACACAAAATGCACAGTGACTACTAGTATTAAAACTATTGCTGCCACAGTTGTTCTACTACAACTTTTACTTATGCTGTTAAGACAACTTATACTACTATTGTTATTGCTACTACTATCATTGTTGTTGTTACCATTACTGCTTCTAATGCCAAAAATACTATGATCGTTGGTGCAACAGCTGCTAACGCTAAAGCTAATGCTATCACCTACTGATGTTGATATTTCTTCTTGTAAAATAAAGCAGGTCTCTGTAGTTTGACCCCCAAACGAGTGCTCTTCAGTTGCTATCCCTGGATATGCACTCTGGCCACTTAATGAGGTACACCCTTCTAGTACTGGGTAGAGTTTATCTTTACCCCCAAAACAGCCTAAATTCTTCGTGGCATGGATTCAACCCGGTGCTGCAAATTTTCCTTTAAGAGATCCTGATCCACATTGACATGATAGCATCACACAGTTGCTGCAGATTTGTCGGTTGCACATTAATCCTGCGAATCTCCCGTTCAGCTATATAGCAAAAGTTTACGCCAAATTCTGACCCTGCCGTCTGCATGTGCAGAATTATTATTATTATAATCAAAAAGAAGCGCTAAGCCACAAGGACTATACAGCACATGTGCAGAATAAATCACGATTCGTCAGACCAATCGACGTTTGTCCAATCTTTAACTGCCCAGTATTGCTGAACCTGTGCCCACTGTAGCCTCAGTTTACTGTTCTAACGTAATAGGAGTGGAACCCAGTGTAGTCTTATGATGTAGGCCATCCACTTCAAGGTTCAACGTATTGTGCTCTCAGAGATACTTTTCTGCATACCACTCTTCTAAATCGTAGTTATTTGAGTTACTGTCAGCTTGAACCAGTCTGGCCATTCTCTGACTTCTCTCATTGTCGAGGCGTTTTCTCCCACAGAACTGCCGCCCACGCCATTCTCTCTAAACTATAGATATAGATACTCTTGTGCGTTAAAATCCCAGGTGAGCAGTTTCTGAGGTACTCAACCCACCCCGTCTGGTACCAACAATCATTCCACAGTCATAATGGTTTTAGATAACATTTCTTCGCCATTCTGATGTTCGGTCTGAACAACAGTTGAACCTCTTGACTGTGTCTTGATGCTTTTCGTCATTGAAGTACTGCCATGTGATTGGCTAATTAGATGTTTGCATTATCGAGCAAGTGTACCTTATAAAGTGGCCACTGAGTATATATTACTGCTGATACTACTGTTGTAACGTGTAGCAGTGGAACTACCGCAATTGCTACCGCTTCGGTTAATCACTTTGTATATATTCTGGTATAGTATATCACTCTTGATGTGTGTGCACTGAGAGATAAAGTGCATGTACACTTGGAGGGGTGCATATCTCAGTATGTATACACTTAGATTGTACTTTAATCACTGCATAAGGGATTAGAACATTCTTGGCTGATACCGAACTGGTTACAGGTAGCTTCAGTGACCCTTTATGTAGTAGTCTCTGAATCCAATTAACCAAATTCTATTGATATTATTACTACTTCAACACCAGTGTTCTCACTGCTTTAGCAACCACGGTAGTTAGCACTAGAATGACTACTACTACTTAATTATTGGTTGGTTGGTTTGTTAGCTTTATAGCTTACTGACTGGACGAAGGTTGTTAAGTCTGTGGTTCACCAGTGCAGTGCAAATCCTTAAAACGCGTATTAAAATACTTTCAGTGCATATTTGTAAGATAAATTTGCCTTACATTACGCTGTGCTAGCTATTGATTAATAGTTTATTGGATTCAAAGACTATCGCCTACTCATTAGATCATTAAGGCTTAATAGATGCCACCTGTTCACCAGTCAGAATACTTTAATCCTAATATAGTGATTAAACTCGACGTATATATACTGAGAGACATCTTTCGGTGTATATATATATCCTGCTAGCTACTTCCCTCATTACCAGTTATAGTGTACTGACTGCTGCTGCCGCTACTATTATTAGAATACTATTACGATTTCTTCCATTCTTCAGTGACACTATTTACATTACTGTTTCTAGTGTCTGTTAACCAGAGTTACCACTAGTCGCTCTTTGTGTATTACATCATATTACCAACTCTTATTGTTCTCCATAAAGACCACCATCCTTATTTTCATTCTTGTATTCACTTGTTTCTCGGTATCTATTGCTAAAACTACTGCTTTAGCTTAACCTTTCTGTTCTCCTTGGTTTATGTAAATCTATGTCTATATGGTAACCTGCATAGCCTGTGAGTGCTTCATAGAATTAGTGTCATTGTCTTCAAGCCGGTAATGCCTGCAACAGACTCAGGGCACCAATGTTGAACCCCCAGTTTCATCATTTTTTGTGGCTTTGGGTGATCCTGTAGCCTCTTAGCTGTACCCTAGGTAGCCCAGATGAGCCTGTAGCCTGAGTTGAGCCTGCAACCTGGGTGAGCCTCATGTGCACGGATGTGAAGTTTAAGTTGTGCTCTCCAGTGGAGGCTTGGAAAGACTGCTAGTGTTTGATGCAGACACACCGAGCAGCGGTCCGCCTCATGTAGTAGTACCTCACCAACATTCACTCCAAACCTCTCACCTCCATATAATTTTCTTATAGAATTTAATAATTTTTTTAAGAATTTAGTTATATATGTACTCACTGTTAAAATGTGAAAACATAAATGAAAATATTTTATAAATTTTATTTGTTATCTTTGTTTCTTACATACTGTAACTACTTAACTGTATCTACAGCTGTAAGCAACCTTTTATTTGCTAATGGTCTAAGCGTATATATTAAAAAAAAAGTAGCTTTGATTTAGTCACGATTTTTCTTGAATTTTTAAATTCATAAATTATACTCTGGAGGTATGAGGGAAGGGGGATTATGTTACTGGGAGAGAGTGAAAGGTGACCCGCTCGGCAGTATTAAACGCATCCAACCACACCTTACCTCACTCCCACACACTCAAGGTAAAAACTTTTGTCTAGCTGGCAGTCCTCCCCTTCCCAGAGCACACAGAACCTTGCAAAATAAAATCATGCTGTTCTCATCAGCATCTTCTCTTACTTGTCATTGTTGAAAAATGCCAACTATTTTTTTCCAATAATATAACTTTTGTTTGTGTGCTGGGGAAGTTGGCAGGAACTTTACATTGGAGGGGGATCTTTAACAGATACCAAGGACGACTCTAACAGCAGCTGGCTCCATCACCTTTATACTAACCAAATCCCCTACAAGCCGCACTTTTTTTTTTTTTGCATTAAACACTTTCGTCTTGTAATACTTCCTGTCATGTGCAACAATTTTCTCATAGGAGACACGCCGCGGCACAATTGGAACGTGTACGCCTGCCATATATGACCGGCATCTGCTCCCAGCACCACCTCCCGCATACTCTCGCAAAGAATCTGAAACATACTAAAAAATTAAGCATTGCATGGTTTAATATACTATACCTTACAGTGGCACTATAGTCTGTGTACGGTGGTGTGTACACTCGTTATAGTCTGTGTAGGATGAAGTGTACACTCACAAAACTGAAAAATGTAATGGTGATACCGACAAGATGAGAAAGGCACTTATGTACATAAGTGTCTTTTCCCACACACTAATCTGTTGGTATGTTCCCGATCACTATACCTATTTAAAGCTGAATATACGCAACCATTAAAATTGCGTGCAGTGGTATACATAGGATCGCCGTACTAGAGTGCGCTTTCGACGGATTGTACATGATCATCTTGTGCGATGTGCTGCGAAATGTTACCAAAAGTTTAAGAGTGGCGATACAATTCGTCAATCAGTAAGATGTTTAAATTATTATTATTATTATAATCAAAAAGAAGCGCTAAGCCACAAGGACTATACAGCGCTGTAAGATGTTTAAAGCGCCAGAGTATTTTACTAATTTACGGAACCACAAGAACTCGAGTGAAATATTGACTTACCGGATGCCACGCAAAATTTTTTAATTCCAAATTGTCTTGACGTTTATTTACGCGTTGGTTTTAGTGTCCTGCCTGAAATTCAGTGTCATTTACCCCTGTCTTCGTTGCATAAAGAGTTGCACACGAGTACTAAAGACCTGCCTTATAGCTATCAAATTTCCGCCTTAATGTCGTAAAGTTTCCGCCTTAGTTTTATAAAGCTTCCATTTTAAATCCCTCTTGGCATTATAAAGTCCCGCCATTCATAAAATTTCTGCTTTAATGTCATTAAGAACCCGCCTTCGTGTATATTTTAAAAATCCGCCCAAAGTAATCATACGTGCCAACCCAATAAAATAGTATAACTGTGTGCTAGTACTCAATAATAATAATAAATAGTTTTTAAAAATACATAGATATTGCAACGAAAGGGTTACCAACTTGATAGAAGAAGCCATATTCTCCTTGTTTAGGTTAAGTTACCTTATTTTAGGGAAGATAAGTTATATTTATTACATATTAATCTAAATTAACCCAATACAACATAACATTACCAAATATACTAATGAAATGCATAACTGGGGAGGATATCTCTCGCCGCGAGAGTTTTCCCCATCAATTTTTTTGTGCCTTATTGTAACACCCTACATACTAGGTAGTGGAATTAATACAACCGCTCCTACCAGATCACTGCGTAAATAACCATAATCATAAATACATAATTGCATAAGCTCTCTTGGAGACTTATCCTGTATAGTGTGATTTTTCCCAGATGCAGTTAAAAAGGGCGTTCAAAATTTAATAACACGTATTACGATAGCCTTTCACGTGCTGTTCAGTTTTGGATGCACTTTCTTCCCATTGCATTTGCCAAAAATGTGCTTATAGAGGAGCTACTGTATAGGGAGACTCTTGCTAATGGAGGTCGGTTAAACGTGAAAAACTGATGTCGCCAAATACGCTGGAAACTAAACGCGTGCATCTGACGTGTACCGCATTAGATTTTGATCCTTATTAATAGTTCAGCCAAATGAGGCACTGGTCACCTGATTTAATAGAATAAAATCAGGTTTAGAATATTTATTTGATCGTTTAAGCCGGTACTCGATATTTCTGTTATCTGATAAATTATTAAATAGTTAATATAAGTATACGTAAGCAAGTTATATAAGATGAGAATAAAATCGAAATCACGAATCTATTGTTCTCCATAAGCTAAACTGTTTTTGTAATTATTATCTATTGATTAGGCTATTCGGTAGTTTTGAGTCTTAGATTAATATACTAGATAGTTTTTAGATCTTTTATTAATGAGTTCTAGCTAGATGTTAAGCTATATATTATAGTACCTGTATTGATTAGGCAGTTAAATATTTTTTTAAATCTTAGATTAATTAGTTCAGGAGTGCCTAGCCTAGATATTAAAATTAGAGAAATATTTTGTGATAAACTAAATAAGAAAGAATGCTTCCATAGTCAGGGCGAGAATGTGTCAGTGTTCAGACTATCACCAAACCTCGGTGATAGGCTTTTTTCGTGTGCTGAAAATTCGTAATAAACGAATTTAAACATTCATATGGGGTGACGAGATTCTGACTCGCGGTCTTTCTTGTCTAGATACATTAAATTTCCCACCAATGAAAAGTAACCCAAAATAAAAACACATTGACCATTACTCGCTCTTGACTGTCTTTCTGTAAGAAAATATATTTATTCAGTTATATACACTCGAGGACCTTATACATTGAAGTAATTTTTATTAGTGACTGAAAGCATATTTTGAACAAATTTAGCACAATAAAGTTAATTGCATGATGGGTGAAGAAACAGGTTACTTAGAGAAAATAAACTAGGAAAATGAACCACTTTAGCAAATTACCCTTTAAATGCACAGAACAGCCTGAGATAAATAAATAATCAAATTCAGGGGTAAATAAGTATCAGTTAGATAATTGTTCATAGATAAAATAGATAACTTGAAGATTGGCCCCCCCTCTTCTTATTGTGAAGTTAAATGTAATTGTACAATTTTTAGATAGGGTTGTAAATTTTTGCAGTGTTAGGGTAGGTTGCTAGGTTAGTTTTAGTGCAACGTCATCAGTTGGCATATAAAAAGTTTGTGTTAACTGGGACTCTTGGGTAGCGGCCAATCTCGTAACCACTGAAAAATATTAGGCTAAGATACTAAGAGTAGCATGAGAAGCAAATTAGGGTCTACAGCAGGTCAATAAGTATTGCAGGATAAATACCACGTAGAGCATTTAGCAAGTGATAGTAAATGATAGATCAACATCGCACCATAATCAAACTGTAACAAAAATGAGTTAGGATTAGAAAGAAAGCTTAGGATTAAGTGGCTTCCTCCCACAGCCCGTCATGAGGATGGTGGCACAGTCTTTCCCTTCTCTTCACGTCTAATATTTACTAACTCCTCTATTTTTCTTTCTCGTCCTCTCCGGATCCCCCTCTCGTAGCTTGTCTGTGTCTGTGTAGGACGGGGCCCGTGACCCATATTGACTTAATGTTGAGATAATTCATAAATTATAAGACCACATAGTTGTCATGATGAATATTGGTAACATAATCTACTAATAGTCACGCGCTCCGACCATCTCTTGTAGCTAGTATCTGTGCCGTCCCTCCTCACAGGGTTAGAGAACCATTACTAACGCATTTTATAGTTTCCATCTATTATTTCCCCGCAGAAGAGGAGGAAGAATCCTTTAAGGAAAAACTCAAGAAAAAACTATTAGAATATTTGATGAAATGCATCGACCTCTTCTGTGTTTGGGACTGTTGTATGGTGTGGATCAAGTTTGCAGAGTTAGTTGAGTTACTAGTATTTGATCCTTTTGTGGAGCTGTTCATCACTCTATGTATCGTCGTGAATACTCTCTTCATGGCCATGGATCACTACGGCATGAACGAAGGCTTCGCCAACTTTCTGCAGATGGGAAACTACGTAAGTATACACTGATAGCTTTTCCTCTAGCTTGCCGACTACACCGCTGGGCTGCTGCTCAACACCTGTACCTCTTCCTCTCTTGGATGTCACCAGCAGTCCTGAAGATCAGCAGCACAAGGCTTTCACTATTTTGCTGTTGCAGTCATTCGCTAAATGCCCTTCGTTGACTTCACAATTTGCCTGATCCAATTGTATATTGTCGGTAAACTTCAATGCTTCATAACATAAGTTTATTATCGGGTTTAGCGCTTTCCCATGAGTATGAAAATAATAATATTTTTGTCTTGAAACTGCTGTTATTGCCAGTTATTAAATTTTAATGCAGTATCTCTATTCATTAATTTTCAGTACCATTTTAATATAGTTACACTGATTCTGTTAACATGTGAAATATTTCAGGCACTTTTCGCTAATTAATAGGAATATTATTTAGTCGTCGTACTTCCTAGTACAACATGTTACTCTCTGTTGACGAATTAGTCAAATTTAATAAGTTTAATGAACTTACGTTTGTATGAAGCTTGAATTCACAAATTAATACATGCTGTTTTATCTTTTAATTTATAATTTACAAATTATATTGAAGAGAATATATATATATATATATATATATATATATATATATATATATATATATATATATAATGTATATATATATATATATATATATATATATATATATATATATATATATATATATATATATATATATTATATATATGACGTTCCGAAGGTAAAACTTGCGATTTTGGCGTAAATAGCAACGCTCTTCTTGCCGAATAAGGCAAGCTAAAATTTGCGTATGCAGTAATTTCGCAAAAATCATTCTGAACTTAAAGAAAAATATATATTTCATTGTGTTTGTTTATTATTAAATTATTGTAAATTTATCTAAGATATATTTAGTTGGATTAGGCTAAATTAAATTTTGCTAGTTATAATAAGGTTAGGTAAGTTTTTAAGGTTCTCTTGGTACAAAATTATGAATTTTTAACATTAACATAAGTGAAAAAATATATCTTTAAACGTTCAAGAGAAAATTTTAGAAAGGACTTAATTTTAAATGAGTTCTTGCTAACTGATCAGTTTTTACATATTCGGCACGACAGTATATATATATATATATATATATATATATATATATATATATATATATATATTATATATATATATATATATATATATATATATATATTATATATATTATATATATGTGTGTGTGTGTGTGTGTATCGTGCCGAATAGGCAGAACTTGCGATCTTGGCTTAAATAGCAACGCTTATCTTGCCATATAAGACAAGTGAAAATTTGTGAATGCAATAATTTCGCCAAAATCATTCTGAATCTAACGAAAAAAATATGTTTCACTGTGTTTGTTTAGCATTAAATTATTGTAAACAAATCTAAAATATATTTAGTTGGGTTTGGCTAAAATTAATTGTTCTTGTTATAATAAGGTTAGGTAAGTTTTCTAAGATTCTTTTGGAGCGAAATTAAATTTTTTTACATTAACATTAATGAAAAAAATATATCTTTAAACGTATAAGAGAAAATTTTAGAAAGGACTTAATTTTAAATGAGTTCTTGCTAATTGACCAGTTTTACATATTCGGCACGACATATATAATATATATACATATATATATATATATATATATATATAATATTATATATATATATATATATATATATATACATATATATACATATATATATATACATACACAAAATATTTTTTTAGCTGTAAACATGTTCCTAAACATAACTTTTAAACTTAGAATGTTATTATCAACTATTTTTTAGCAAGCATTGGTTATATTTGTTGTGTATGTTACTTAAGGCAAGCTCTTTTTATTCTCGCTTTATTACTAAGAAAAATTTTAATTTTTATTCACCTATTAAATATAGGTTTTTCTTGCTGTTAACCGTTAATCAAACATAATCTATCCTTGTTATTAATTTATTAGTAAAGACAGGACCCATTGTCCTAAACGTTATACAACTAAGCATAGATTGACATTATTTCTAATATAATATCTAAACTGAGATTGTCCACACCATCAGCTTGTCACTAAACATAAGACTGCCCATATTTTTACCCATCTAAACTCAGGCTGTCCATATTAACTTGTACCATAGGTTGATCGTATTTTTTTTAACATAGTATATGCATACAGAGATTATTGCCCTTATTTCTACATATTTAAAAATAAGTTTTTTTTTTTCAAAATGTAACTGAACAAGCTTTTTATTTTTTTTTTTTTTTTTTTAAAATGTAACTGGACTCAATATTACTTTGCAGTTAGTTTCCTAATACACGAAGACGTTCGCAATATTCTGTAGATCAAATCTATTCAATGTCTCACTTTGTCACTATTTTTGTAGTATAAAGGAAGACGGTTTATCAGTATACTAATTGTTTATGTGTTTGCATAGGCTCTGTAGCGTAGTTAAAAGATTTGGAGAATATTGTAAAGCGATTTCTTCATGCTGTGGAAACAGCTATATTAAATCTCTGCTCTAACCAGAAGTAGTGGCATTATAGTTCTATCACCTACTACTATAACATATTAATCATAATGCTATCCCCACTACTAGAACATGTTAATTATAGTGCTATCCTCCACTAGTATAACATGTTATTAACAGTGATATCCTCGCTAGTATAACATGTTAATCATAGTGTTATCCCCCACTAGCATAACATGTTAATCATAATGCTATCCCTTACTACTATAACATGATAATCAAATACAGTTCTTTGGCATGATAAAATTCTGTTATGTAAGAATGATAATTTTCTATAGATTAACACTTCTGATATACTTTTGTATAAAACTTTATATATTTCCAGACACAGCACATTTTTTTAGTGTAGTCAGCACTGATAATTTACAGTTAGAAAGCATGCTTTTGTTGTGATTGCTCGGGTAGGCATTCTTCACAGCCTCCCTCTTCTGTACAAACCTGTTAATATTAATAAGTGTGGTAAGAGTGTAGCTTTCTTTTAATTCCTGGGTGTATAGTAGACGACTTGTTTGTATGTGTATGCACTCCCTAGACCCCTTGGTGTGTTGTATAATTGTATATTCACGGAGAAGCGCTAACTCGTTGGGAGTAATTCGGGTTTGATCTGAGGAGAGGAAGGGTAATTCCACTTCATTGAGTCAAGAGGCCCTCAGGCGTAGTGTGTGTGTGTGTATACTCTTGCATAACCTTAGTTGGTATTCATTTATCACTGTGTTAGCGAAGACTGAGTAATTGATGGAAGTCCTTGGATGCTGGTGAAGTGCTCTTGATCCCAGGAAATAGAACTACTCTCTCTCTTTCCCCGATTGAACCCTATTATCTCCTTTTTCCCAGGTGCTGTGTAACCCCTACAGATTTAGCGCCTCTCAGTGAAAATAATAATGCTACGAAATTCTAAAATGTATCGCTAATTTACAGTCATCGTGTTTGTTACCTGTGAATGTTTGCGTTATGTTTGGTATATGAGCCTCTCCTTCATTTTGACTCTTTCAAGTAGGGCAGGTACCTTCATGCCGATGAGGAGCTCTTGATTTAAGGAGTTGGAGCTACTCTCCTATTCCTTGGTTCAAACCTAAACCCAGTCAGGAGCCCCTGCATGGAGTATATAAACTCGTGACTGATCAAATTTGTTTCCATACTTGTTACTCCAAGCATTGTGTTATTAACCTGTGTTACTCGAGGCATTCTGTGTGTTACTAACCTTACGTTAGGCTTTCTACATCTGTACTTGAATCTTTACCTTCACAAGCTATGACAACCCTTGGATAATTTTCTCGTAGCGCGTTCGACTCAACCGAAAGTATTTTGGTAGAACCCTGAGCGAGGCGAGACGTATGGACAGATCTAAATCTGCCGCCCCTATTACCTAGCAGTAAATAGATATCTTTTGAGTTAATCTACTGATGTGGGTCGCATCCCAGGGTTGAGCCTTAATAGGAACCCAGTTGAAATCAGCAACATTGGTTCGTTTATTCTTCGCTGGTAAAGGATGCTAATCCGCATGTACTGTATTTTTTTTACTGCGCCTGAGTTTCCTTTCTCTTACGGCACATGTCTAGGGTAGTTCTCATCACTGTCCCTTAGTCACCTGTTGGGGAATATCTATGTTTTTGTTGCATATACAGACCACTGGTGTGTACCAACCACTGTGTTGCATGTACCGACCTTTGTATTTGAACTGACCAATTTGTGTTGCCGATACCGACAACTGAATTAGTATACTAACCACTGGGTTGCAAATACCGACCACTTTGAATTGGAGTACCGATGACTCTTTGAGTTGCGTGTACCAGTCACTGTTGTGTTCACCAGTCCTGAGTGCACCGACCTCTCTATTCAATGTACTGACCACTTTGTCTTGCACGAATCAACCACTGTGTGTTTCATGTACCGACCACTGCGTTGCATGCACCGACCACTGTGTTGCATGTACCGATCACTTTCATGTGCCAGTGTTACATTCACCGACTACTGTGTTGCCCGCACCGTCACCAAATTTACATGTACTGACCACTCAGTATTGCACAGACCGATCGCTCTGCATTACCTGGGCCGCACAATTGTGTGTTGCATGTACCGACCTTATTATGTTGCTCAGGCCGACCACTCTTGTTGCCACCTTACACCGATTACTCTTGTTTCCTAGGGCCCTGGACCGACCACTCTGTGTAGCGTTTACAGGCCACTCTTACCCGGACCAGTATAAGAGAGTGGGGATCATGCATGGAGGAAATTTAAAACTTAACCCAAATAGAAAGTAGTTTCTAGTACCCAGTTCGTACTTTAGAGAGACTAGCCGAGTTACTCCGATTTTTCTAAGAAGTGGTTTGGTCATATGAAGATAAGCTACTAAATGGCAAAGAAAGAGGTATTTCTAGGCCTTCTTTTCACAGTCTTCAGCGAATTCTAGAAAGTAGCGTTGTAATGTGCTACTTAGAATAGCAGTGCTACTTGTAATAACGGAATCATGCGATCTCTTTCACTTCCTTTATCAGTCTGCTTCACGATGTGTAGTAATAGTGTTGTACTAATAACTAACACTGAGCAAACTAGAAGACGTTTCGGTCCATCTTGGGCTATTATCATATTATAACTGTTATGATTTGATATTTGTCCAGGAAGTAACACTGTCTAAGGTTTTCTCCCCAAAATGTGGGTTAGTTCATTCATCGAAGATGCAATGTTGTTTCTTCAGTTGAGCAGTTGAGTGCTGGGTTCCTCGAGCCCCGTGCTCTAGTAGCCATCAGATTGCCAGTCTAAAGCTTTATCACTCTACTACAGAAGGGGATTAATCAGGCCCACAACTCCAGTAATTATTATGCATTTATTTGGTACGATTTTTCTCCTCACACATTGCTGTGTATTTATATGTTCACAATTATCAATACAGTAGGAGGGGGGGGGGGAGAGAAAGGCACTTTACAGCCATGTATTTCGTTTAGTAAGCTATCAAAAACAGTCCCGGAACTCGATTAGTTACGCACTCGGCTCACACACTGAGGTCCGTGGGTCGATCCCCGGTGCGGGTAGAGACATTAGGACGACATGTTTCCATAAAACACCTGCTGTCCTTATTCACTTAGCAGTAAAATAGGTACTTGGGTGTTAGTCGACTGGAGTGGGTCGCATCCTGGGGACAAACTTGACCTAATTTGCCCGAAATTCTCTGCATAACTAGGGGGCTTTCTATATAGTAGTACTTCGTTGATGTCAGCTAGGCTTGTATACCTTGTACATGTACTTATAGAAATAAACATTATTACGTACACATTAAAAAACAGTAAGGTCACGTGATCCTGGTGGTCTACCCGTGACCGATTTTGAGAGCTCTGCTGTAGAAGCCTGCCCAGCCTAGCCAGACTTTGTTGTTTACTGCCTTGTCAACCAGGCTGTTTTTTGCCAGCGGTCTGTAGGTCTGCACAGTCCTCACAGCCTGGCTGATGTGGTGCTTGTGATTATAGCATCATGTCAAGTTGATGTTTTTGTAAAACAACCAACATATTTTTTTTTAATATATTACAGTTGTGCCTATATATATTTGGACATAATTGTGTGTACATGTGGTTGTATCCAAGAAGATCACAGTAAATATGTGATATCACAATATGCAAAAACAGCCACAGTGAAAAATATTAGTGATCATGCAAGCGCTTTCGTGATTTCTCACACTACCAAGAACATGTGAAAATAATAATTCATTAATGATTTGCCGGTACTTCCGGCCCGGGTCTTCTCCAGATGGCGACCCTGCGGGTGAAAATAATACAACTTCTGTTATTTTTACATGTCCTTAATGTGAGAAACCACGAAAGGGCTTGGAGGTTCACTATTTTTTCACAGTGGTCGTTGTGTATAATGTGATTGTATATGTTCGTGTGCATGTGAACGTGTATGTCTGCGGTTATGTTCGTGTGCATGTGAACATGTATGTCTGCAGTTATGTTTTCATGAACGTGTTGGAACTTTAGGTATGTGTGGATGTATCTTTCAGTCTGTATTGAGTATATTTGAATCCTTAACCTTCCTCCATTATTTTAGTGTGTCCATATACACGTGTGTGTGTGTGTGTGTGTGTGTGTGTGTGTGTGTGTGTGTGTGTGTGTGTGTGTATGTGTTTCCTTTTCTTCAAGTGTCAACAGCAGTGTCCTCAGAATCACATGGACGAGCATCACCTCCAGGTAGGGTGACACCGGTGGATATTTAATACTTTACCATAACGTTTAACCGTACATTAAGTCTAGCAATCCTTGTCTTCTCTCCTACCCACCCCTCACCCCACCCTCTCACACCCCACCCTCATACCCACCCTCTCACACCCACCTTCTCACATCCCATCCTCACACCCCACCCTCACACCCCACCCTCTCACACCCCACCCTCTCACACCCCACACCCCCACACTCACACCACACCCTCTCACACCCCACACACTCACACCCGCATTCTTACACCCCACACACTCACACCCTACACTCTCACACCCCACACAATCACACCCCACACTCACACCCACACTCACACCTCACCCCACACACTCACACCCCACACACTCACACCCCACCACACTCACACCTCACGCACACCCCACACACTCACACCCCACACACTCACACCTCACACTCACACCCCACACACACACCCCACACACCCCACACACACCCACACACTCACACCCCACACACAACTCCACACCCCACACACTCCACCCACACCTACACCCACACCACCTCACACACACCACACACACCTCACACACACTCACACACCCACACCACACCTCACACACCACACCCCACCCATCACCCACCACACACCTCACACACACCTCACACACACTCACACACACACCCTCCACACTCACACCTACACCACACACACCACACACACTCACACACACCCACACCACCCCACACACCACACACACCTCACACCTACACACCTCACACCACACCCACACACACACACTCAACACACACACCCACACACCTCACACACTCACACCTCACACTCACCACACCCACACCTCACCACACACACACACACACACACACACACACACACACACACACACAACCACACCACACCACACACACACTCACACCCACACACACCACACACTCACACACTCAACACCTCACACACACACACACACACCACACACACTCACACCACCTCACACACCCACCTCACACACTCCACACACACACACCTCACACACACCACACCTCACACTCACACCACACACCTCACACACACACACACACCCACACCCACACCACACTCACACACTCACACCCACACCTCACACACACCTCACACTCACACCTCACACTCACACCCACCACACACACACCCACACCTCACACACAACACTCACACCCACACACACACACACACCACCACACCCACACACACACACCTCACACACTCACACACTCACACACACACCTCACACACTCACACACACACACCCACACACACACACTCACACACACACCTCACACACACAACATCACACTCACACACACACACACACACACACCACACACACACACCACACACACACACACCACACACCACACACACACACACACACACACACAACCTCACACACTCACACCTCACACACCCACACCTCACACTCACACACTCACACCTCACACTCACACCTCACACACTCACACCTCACACACACACCTGTCTTCGGAGTTATCAAAATTCCCCCCATAAACAAAATCTGTCTTCCGAGTTTTAACTTTTACTTTCTATTTTAATTTTCGTGTCTCGAGTTTTAGGGGTCACTCCTGACATTTGAATTTTCTTAACTAATATTTGTCCTTTCTCTCTAGCATTTGACCTTTCGTAATATTTGACCTTTCTCTGCTAATATTTGATCTTTCTCTGCTAATATTTGACATTTCTCTTGTAATATTGGACTTTTCTTTCCAAATATTTCAGTTTTCTCTCCTGATATTTCAATTTTCTCTCCAAATATTTCAATTTTCTCTCAAAACGTTTAAATTTTCTCTCAAAATATTTAAAATTTCTCTCAAAATATTTAAAATTTATCTCTTAATATTTGACTTTTTTAATCCAATGTTTGACTTCCTGACATAAAAATTCGACTTGTTTTGGATACTAACATTTCCTTAAAGTCTTACTTGACCTGACCTTTGACTTTGGGGTCAAACACTTTATTTCCCTGTTTTAAACACTGAATTCCTTGCCCTAAGCTTTAAAGTTCGTGCCCTAAGCTCTGACTTGCGTGGCCAGACTGTCACCCGTGTCATTCCCCCCTCTTGATTCGAGGACTTGGAGTCACCATACCTATTCTTGGCTCAGATCTGTTTACCTCCCGGTCCTCAGGAGTTGTATAACTCCTACGGGCTTAGCGCTTTATAAATTTGCAAATTATTAGCTCCAGTTCCTTAGATCAAGAAACTTTGACGGGTTCTGTGCCCCATTGTTTTAAGCTGAGGTTTGATATTCGCTTTCTAAGCTTTGAATGTTCTAATAAGCTTTATCCTTTTACTTAGGAAACTTCTTTGACTTCTGTTCCCAAAACATTGATTTCCGGACCCTAAGTATTGATATTCGTGCCTTAAATATTTACTTTCGTGCCTTAAATATTTACTTTCGTGCCTTAAACATTGACTTCCGTGATTGAATATTGACTTTCGTGTTAGACATTGGCTTTCGTGTCTTAAGCGTTTGCTTCCTTTCTTTAAACATTGACTTTCGTGCCTTAAGCATCGAATACTGTAACCTACACATTAACTTCATGACCTAAACATTGATTTCCGTGACCTAAGCTTTGTCCCCCGTATGATTTCCGTATGATTTACTGAGGCGTGGATGTGGTGTCCTTCCCTGCAGTTCTTCACGGCCACCTTCAGTATAGAATGTTTCCTCAAGATCATCGCCATGAGCCCCAAGTACTACCTTCAGGAAGGTTGGAACATCTTCGACTTCATCATCGTGTTCCTGTCCCTGCTGGAGTTGGGTTTGGCCAACGTTTCCGGTCTCTCCGTCCTGAGGTCTTTCCGTCTGGTCAGTGATTCTTCTTGACGCCGTTCTAGACACAGAGTTTGTTAGACTGTAAACAGCCAGCTTGTGTATTGTAACGTGATATTGTTAGACTGTATTTATCCCTCTGTAAACAGCCAGCTTGTGTATCGTTACGTGAGATTGTTAGACTGTATTTATCCCTCTGTAAACAGCCAGCTTGTGTATCGTTACGTGAGATTGTTAGACTGTATTTATCCCTCTAGACAACCTACATGTGTATTTTAAAGTCTTGATGAATAAGACACATGCCCAACACTTCAATATCTTCATACCCGAAACGTTTCGCCTATAGAGTAGGTTTCTCCAGTCTATTTGGTCGTAAATGTTATGGTAATATCGACAAACTGTAAATAAAAGACACTTGTGTATAGTTCAAGACATTTATTAAATAAATGTCCTGACCTGTACACAAGTGTCCTTTTCTAAAGTCGAATACATCTCAGGCGACTAAACTTTATCAAAGTGTTGAACATGTGTCTTATTTACACTTTATCAAAGTGTTGAACATGTGTCTTATTTACACTTTATCAAAGTGTTGAACATGTGTCTTATTTACACTTTATCAAAGTGTTGAACATGTGTCTTATTTACACTTTATCAAAGTGTTGAACATGTGTCTTATTTACACTTTATCAAAGTGTTGAACATGTGTCTTATTTACACTTTATCAAAGTGTTGAACATGTGTCTTATTTATCATCACTTACAGGTGATAGGTAAGACATATATACAACAGTAGGACTCTTTGTTAACCAATGTTATATTTGCCTGCGCTCCAGGTTTCCTCATTCGATTACAGAGATGAATCACACTGGTGGAGGTATCAGTCTTGATGCAAGACGATGTGAAGAACTAATAATATTGGTAGAATGACCGACGATGTCTTGGGTACAATGACACATGTCCAACTAATTCCACATTTTATTGTGGCTTGACAAAGTTCCTGGAGAGCAAAACGTTGCCCTAGGTGCAAGATTATCAGTACATCACCCTAGGTGCAAGGTAGTCACTACATCACCCTAGGTGCAAGGTAATCACTACATCACCCTAGGTGCAAGGTGATCCGTGCGTCACCCTAGGTGCAAGGTGATCCGTGCGTCACCCAAGGCGCAAGGTGATCCGTGCGTCACCCAAGGTGCAAGGTGATCCGTGCGTCACCCAAGGTGCAAGGTGATCTGTGCGTCACCAAGGTGCAAGGTGATCCGTGCGTCACCCAAGGTGCAAGGTGATCCGTGCGTCACCCAAGGTGCAAGGTGATCCGTGCGTCACCCTAGGTTCAAGATGATCCGTGCGTCACCCTAGGTGCAAGGTGATCCTTGCATCACCCTAGGTGCAAGGTGATCCTTGCGTCACCCTAGGTTCAAGATGATCCGTGCGTCACCCTAGGTGCAAGGTGATCCGTGTGTCACCCTAGGTACAAGGTGATCCGTGCGTCACCCTAGGTACAAGGTGATCCGTGTGTCACCCTAGGAAACCAAGGTAAACCGTGCGTCCCCTTAGGTGCAAGGTGTCCGTGGGGTCACCCTAGGTAAAAGGGGTGATCCGTGTGTCACCCTAGGTACAAGGTGTTCCGGGGCGTCCCCCTTTGGTACAAGGTGACCCTTTGCTTTCACCCTTGGAAACAAGGTGATCCTTGCGTCACCCTGGTTAAAAGGGTGATCCGTGGTCACCCGGGTACAAGGGGGTTCCGTCCCGTCACCCTAGGAACAAGGTGATCCGGTGTCCCCTAGGTAAAGGGGGACCCGTGTGTCCCCCTAGGTAAAAAGGTGTTTCCGTGTGCCCACCCTAGGTAAAAAGGTGACCCCGTGCGCCCACCCTGGGACAAGGTAACCGGTGTCACCCTGGGGGTAAAAATGGGTTTCCGTGTTCCCCCAAGGTACAAGGTAAACCGTGTGTCACCCTAGGAAAAAAGGGAAACCGGGTGGCCCCCTGGGTTACAAGGTGTTTCCGTTTGTCCCCCCAAGGACAAGGTGACCCGTGCGTCACCCTAGGTAAAAGGGGAAATCCGTGGGGTACCCAAAGGTACAAGGTGATCCGTGGCCCCCAAGGTACAAGGTGACCCCGGTGTACCCTGGGTACAAGGGATCCTTGTGTCACCCTAGGTAAAAGGGATCCGTGCTCCCCTGGGTGAAAGGTGATCCGTGGTCCCCCTAGGTGAAAGGGTGACCCGTGCGTCACCCTATGTCCCAAGTAAACCGTGTGTAAACCCTAGGTACAAGGTGTCCGTGTGTCACCCTAGGTACAAGGTGTTCCGTGCGTCCCCCAAAAGGTTTGCAAGGTAAATCCGTGCTCCCCCTGGGTGCAAGGTATCCGTGCGTAAACCCTAGGTACAAGGGGGATCCGTGTGTCACCCTAGGTACAAGGTATCCGTGTTTCACCCTATAAAAAAGGTGATCCGTGCGTCACCCTATTCAAGGGCCCGGGTGTTCCCCTAGGTACAAGGTGATCCGTGTGTCCCCTAGGAAAAGGGTGATCCGGGGTGCCCCACCCTAGGAAACAGGTGATCCGTGTGTAAACCCGGGGACAAGGTGATCCGTGTGTCACCCTAGGTACAAGGTGATCCGTGCGAAACCCCTAGGTACAAGGTGACCCCGTGTGTCCCCCCTAGGAAAAACAAGGTGACCCCGTGTGTCACCCTAGGTAAAAAGGTGATCCTGCATCCCCCAGGTAAAAGGTGACCCGTGTGTCCCCCTGGGGAAACAAGGTGACCCCGGGGTGTCACCCAAGGTACAAGGTGATCCGGCTTTCCCCCTAGGTAAAAAGGTGATCCGTGGCCCCACCCCCTAGGTACAAGGTGTTCCGTGTGTCCCCCCTAGGTGCAAGGTGATCCGTGCGTACCCTGGGTTAAAGGGTGATCCGTGGTCCCCCTGGGGTACAAGGTATCCGTCCCGTAAACCCTAGGTACAAGGTGACCGTGGTCACCCTAGAAAAAGGGTGACCCGTGTGTCACCCTAGGTAAAAGGGGTGTTTCCGTGCCGTCACCCTAGGTAAAAATTTGATCCGTGTGTCACCCAGGTGCAAGGGGGCCCGTGCGTCACCCTATACAAGGTGATCTTTTCTTACCCTAGGGAAAATGGACTGATTACATTTACTGTAGAAAGTCGAAAAATGAAAATTGTATAAGGGAAAAAAACCGCTGCTTTAGGAAACCCCTTTTTAAAGGGCGAAGGCCTTTAAAGCGAAGGCCGTAAAGCGAAGCACCGTAAAGCGAGGCCCTTCTGTTAAAAAAATAAAAAAGTTCCCAAAAGTAATCCCCCGAAATTTTTAATAAAAATAAAAGTAATTTCCCCTTTAAGAAAAAAAAGGTTACAAAAACCGTAATTTGCGTTATACAGCACAGCACAGGCCCCCGTAGGCCTAGAGGGATGTGCCCCCGTTCGTGTGTTTTCCCGTAGTTAAGTGTTTTTCAAACCTGTCTAGCATAGGTCACGCAGTGTTCTCTTCTGTTCTTATGACTGGTGAGCAAAAATTTTCATTTTTTTCCCTGGACCCGTAGGTCTGCTGCAGGCCCTTCTTTCTTTTTGACCTTATATTTCTATGTGAACATTTGCTGTGCGTACTATTATTAATAATGATGTGATAAATTAGACACATGTGCAACACATCGATATCTTTATTTTGAAGACGTTTCGCTAAGCAGCAGTAGCTTTATGATATAACGAACCGAGTGACTTGCGAAACATCTTCAAAATAAAGTACCCAAGTGTTGTAATGTTGGTAGAATGCCCACAGTATGTTAGATAAAAAGGACACTTGTGCAACTATTGAGACGTTTTATTGCGGCAACGTTTCGTTCTAAAGGAGCGAAACGTTGCCACAGCAAAATGTCGCATTAGTTGCACTTGTGTCCTTTTACCCAACCTAAGACTTACACAATCAATTCACCAACTTGTCATTATTGTGTACCATTAATATTGTGATGATAATGGTTGTGTTGTTCGACAGTTGCGAGTGTTCAAGCTAGCCAAGTCATGGCCGACTCTCAACCTGCTCATCTCCATCATGGGCAAGACGGTGGGCGCCCTGGGTAACCTGACCTTCGTCTTGTGTATTATCATCTTCATCTTCGCCGTCATGGGCATGCAGCTCTTCGGCAAGAACTACATAGGTAGGAAATTATGGCGGCTCAAGCAGACTTGTCTTTCAGTGCCATTGATCTGTAAACATTGAGCAACTGCCCTACACGGTGAGTGTAAACATTGAGCAACTGCCCTACACGGTGGGTGTAAACATTGAGCAACTGCCCTACACGGTGGGTGTAAACATTGAACAACTGCCCTACACGGTGGGTGTAAACATTGAGCAACTGCCCTACACGGTGGGTGTAAACATTGAGCAACTGCCCTACACGGTGGGTGTAAACATTGAGCAACTGCCCTACACGGTGGGTGTAAACATTGAACAACTGCCCTACACGGTGGGTGTAAACATTGAACAACTGCCCTACACGGTTGGTGTAAACATTGAGCAACTGCCCTACACGGTGGGTGTAAACATTGAGCAACTGCCCTACACGGTGGGTGTAAACATTGAACAACTGCCCTACACGGTGGGTGTAAACATTGAACAACTGCCCTACACGGTTGGTGTAAACATTGAGCAACTGCCCTACACGGTGGGTGTAAACATTGAACAACTGCCCTACATGGTGGGTGTAAACATTGAACAACTGCCCTACACGGTGGGTGTAAACATTGAACAACTGCCCTACACAGTGGGTGTAAACATTGAGCAACTGCCCTACACGGTGGGTGTAAACATTGAACAACTGCCCTACACGGTGGGTGTAAACATTGAACAACTGCCCTACACGGTGGGTGTAAATATTGAGCAACTGCCCTACACGGTGGGTGTAAACATGAGCAACTGCCCTACACGGTGGGTGTAAACATTGAACAACTGCGTTGGTAAATTAGACACATGCGCAACTCTTGGGTATCTTTATTAAGGAAACGTTTCGCTACACAGTGGCTTCATCAGTCCATACACAGGAGAAACTTGAAAAACAGGAGGAGAATGAGGTAATCAGTCCCTCAACCTTGAGTTGATTGATGGACTGACCACATCGACTCAAGGTTGAGGGACTGATTACCTCATTCTCCTCCTGTTTTTCAAGTTGCTCCTGTGTATGGACTGATGAAGCCACTGTGTGGCGAAACGTTTCCTTAATAAAGATACCCAAGAGTTGCACATGTGTCTAATTTATCAACGTGTCGGTTCTCTGAACCATTCATCTACATTGAACAATTGCCCTACACGGTGGGTGTAAACATTGAACAACTGCCCTACACAGTGGGTGTAAACATTGAACAACTGCCCTACACGGTGCGTGTAAACATTGAACAACTGCCCTACACGGTGCGTGTAAACATTGAACAACTGCCCTACACGGTGGGTGTAAACATTGGACAGCAGCCCTACGCGACGGGCATGGGTTTGATAAATGAGACGCTTTTGCAACATCTGGGTGATTAGGCACCTGTGCAACATCTGGGTCTCTTTATTGTAGATGTTAAACCAGCCGGTGGCTTTATCCATACAAATTTAAGGTCATATTGAGAAAAGATGAGGTAATGAGTCCCTCAGCCTTGTAGCTGGTGAAGAGCACTGTAGTCTTGAAGACTTTTCCAGACTGCAGTGGTCTTCGCCAACTCCAAGGATGGGGGACTGATTGCCTCAACATCCTCATCTTCAATGAAACGTTTCCTGAGTAAAGATACCCAGATGTTGCACTAGTGTCTCATTATCAACTTGCCGGTTTCCTAAACCATTTATTCATATGTGTTTGACTACCACCCACAGGGTGAGTTTTGGTGGCTACTGTTCACAGGGTGAAAATGGGGTGACTACCTGTCGCAGGATGATTGTGAGATATGTATCTTACAGGATGAGTGTGTAATAAAGTTGGTAGAATTACCGACAATATGTAAAGTAAAAGGACACAAGTGCAACTAATGTGACATTTAATTGTGGCAACGTTTCGCTCTCCAGGAGCTTTATCAAGCCATTACAAACAATACATGGACACAGAGGGTATATAAAGGCTCAGAGTGAGGTGCAATACTAGTGAGGTACCATTTCGATGTTCACTAGTGGTAGTAGTAGTAGTAGTAGTGACAAAAGTAATACAATATGGTAGAGCAATTAATTCGTACCATATTGTATTACTTTTGTCACTACTACTACTACTACTACCACTAGTGAACATCGAAATGGTACCTCACTAGTATTGCACCTCACTCTGAGCCTTTATATACCCTCTGTGTCCATGTATTGTTTGTAATGGCTTGATAAAGCTCCTGGAGAGCGAAACGTTGCCACAATTAAATGTCACATTAGTTGCACTTGTGTCCTTTTACTTTACAGGATGAGTGTGGGCTACATAATTAATGACGTAAATTCTTCCCATTTATCGTTTACAATACTGTGAAGGTTATTTTGCTTTCCATGCGCTGATGCATTCTCTTTTTCTTGTTCAGAGGCCTAAGTGTCCTTTTGTTCCTAGTGCTCTTTGAAAGTCCTCAATTTCCCTGGTATTATCATGCACTGGAAAACGTACAGAGGAGGATGACAAAGTTGATCCCATGTATCAGAAATCTTCCCTATGAGGACAGACTGAGGGGCCCTGTATCTACACTCTCTCGAAAGGCGTAGAATTAAGGGGGATATGATCGAAGTGTATTAATGGAAAACAGGAATAAATAAAGGGGATGTAAATAGCGTGCTGAAAATTTCCAGTCAAGACAGGACTCGCAGCAATGGTTTCAAGTTGGAAAAATTCAGATTCAGGAAGGATATAGGAAAGCACTGGTTTGGTAATAGAGTTGTGGTTGAGTGGAACAAACTCCCAAGTACAGTTATAGAGGCTAAAACGTTGTGTAGTTTTAAAAATGGTTAGATAAATACACGAGTGGGTGTGAGTTGGACCTGATTAGGCCTGATGCCGTGCTCCTTCCTTAAGTGGAAGTGACCTGACTAGGTGGGTCATTAGGCTAATCCGGGGGGGGGGACATGGACGTGCTTCGCATGTTTCAGTGGGCCTGCTGCAGTGTTCCTTCTTTCTTGTGTTCCTGTGTTCTAAATGGTTATTGTAGCGGTCTATTCAATGATGTGAATCGAAGGTCACCAATAGCCGAGGTGGGGCGAAATTTGGCGGACATATTTCCTTATTCCTATTGCCTTTTGTGTAAGACACAAGTGCAACAATTGGGCATCTTTATTGTTAAAACGTTTAGCCTACACAGTAGGCTTCAGTTTCGCATACTGTGTAGGCGAAACGTTGCAATAATAAAGATACCCAACTGTTGCACTTGTGTCTTACTCATCAACTTGTCGGTATTATATACCATTTTGTTCACCAGTTAGTAAATAGGTACCGATGTTGGTTGTTGTGGATAACATTCTAGGGAAGAGGGGGACGGGGGTAATATGTCTTGGGTCGGGCTGGGTTTTAAAATGAGCTGAAGTAGGATAAGAGCGGACAGGCGCAAGACTGACACTTTCTTATTTTTCAGACAACGTCAGTCGTTTTCCGGAGAGCGATGATGGTCAGCTTCCCCGATGGAACTTCACAGATTTCATGCACTCCTTCATGATCGTGTTCCGGGTGCTGTGCGGAGAGTGGATCGAGAGTATGTGGGACTGCATGCGAGTGGGAGACTGGTCATGCATTCCATTCTTCATGGCCACTGTCATCATTGGCAATTTAGTGGTAAGTGAATTTGTTTGAGTTCATGCACTTTCAAAACATAGGTCACTAGCTTACAAACGACGTAAGTCACTCATTAGTGCTTACAAACAGGACATTTGCGTATCAGTTTTACATCTCTTGTTGGTCCGGGACAGACCGAAAAGTCGTCTAGTTTTATTTCTGATTTGTGTGTTAGTTGTGAATTGTTATCCAGATTAAATTTACCCAGATAGGTCAAACAGCTAACCTAGTCTCTCATAGGTCACTACATATAAAAAACAACTAATCTAGCCTCTTGTAGGTCACTACATGTCAGACAATAACTAATCTAGCCTCCTGTAGGTCACATGTCAAACCATTTAGCTTACTTTGCCTCTCGTGACAGGTGTTGAACCTGTTCTTGGCTCTGCTACTGAGCAGTTTCGGTGCTTCGAACCTGTCGGCTCCGCAGAGCGACGGTGAGACCAACAAGCTAGCCGAAGCCTTCGACCGCATCGCCCGCTTCAAGGCCTGGGTGAAGAGGTCGGTCCTCAACGGCCTGAAGCACATCCGCGCCAAGCTCACCAACCAGATCAGCGACCAGACACCAGGTTGGTCTCAGGCTCACGGTCCAAGATGGTGAAATGAACACGCTCACTACTAACACCTAGGAACACCGTCATTCTCATATTTTATGCCCACTTCTGCAATGGCTATGCTCGCTGTTACACCACCACTGTCACCATTGCGCACCATCACCACTGTTACTGCCCACCACCACCACTGATGCCTATTACCACCTCACGCACCATCACCACCATACCACGTAGGCAATAGGTTGGTAGACAGCAGCCACCCAGGGAGGTGCTACCATCCTCTCATATTGAATGCGAAACGGAAGCCTGTTAAATGTTTTGCACTCTAGCAGGAGTGTTGATGTTTTCTTTCTCTCTGTGGAGAACAAGTAAAGACGACAGGCAAATCTTACAAATTGATGACCTCTACATAACCCACGTGGGTGTAGCGCTTCTCAGAGAATAAACACAAACTACAGTAAGGTCAAAACCTCGTTGTTTACCACTGTTTGTAATAATAATAATAATAATGATTATAATAATTATAAGAGTTACATTGATCCAAGGCATCATGACGAGGAAACATCTTACCTATTCGTCTGTCCCCGGGAATCGAATCCTGGTCCTTTTGGTTGTGAGCAGGCTTTACCACTGAGCTACGGGCAACCCTGCTGTTATTATCCTTAAGACTGTTACCACCAGGCAATACTACACAATAACGCCGAGTTACAAGTACAAATTAGTACACGTAGTCACTAGTCACGTACATATACAAACACTATATATCACATGATGGTATGCACCATGTGATATGTATCATCACATAACACGTTATATATTTTCATATAACATCGCATAATGCCATATACCATCATATGATACCACATACCACCACACTGAATAAAATAATGCCACATATCATCACATAACGAAACATACCACCACATGCCACATAACTATAAAAACACATAGCACAACGTCACATGCAATGTAGCATACTTTCACATAATAATATATACCGTCACCTAATGCCACATTTCACAACGTCACATGACATTACATAATGGAATGTACTATCACATTATGCCACATACTTCACATAACGTCACATACTGTTGCATAATGTTGCCTCCTGTAAAATAACATCACATGCAATAACATATCACATACATTGCATGACATCACATAACATAACATATTATTATTATTATTAAAGATTAGCCGGTATTCTCCCGGCCCGGGCCTTTTCCAAGTGGTGGCCCGGCCTTGGCTCCCTCTTTAGGGAGTGTCTGAGACCTAAGTCTCCCATGGGAGGAGGCACAAGTACCTCCTCATCTATGGGACCAACTGTCCCCAGGCCTAGCCACAAGCTAGGCCTCTCTGGTCCGCCATCCCCGCCCCAAGGGGGCAAATGGGAATGACAGTCTTATGAGCTAAAGGCTCGGGCTCAGGCACCTACCCTGCCCTAGAAGGGCTGGGCATGGTGTCGAAACAACATAACATCACATGCTATTACATGTTACCATAACATAACATTACAAAATGTTACCATAACATACCATTATGTTAACATAACATCACATACCATTACTTAATGTTAACATAACATCACTTATTATTACATAATGTTAACATAACATCACTTATCATTACATAATGTTAACATAACATCACATACATAACATAATGTTAACATAACATCACATACATAACATAATGTTAACATAACATCACATACATAACATTAACATAACATACCATAACATAATGTTAACATCATATACATAACGTTAACATAATATACCATAACATAATGTTAACATAACATCACATACATAACATAATGTTAACATAACATCACATACATAACAATGTTAACATAACATCACATACATAACATTAACATAACATAACCATAACATAACATAAGTTACATATAACATCATATACATAACATAACAATAACATAATATACCATAACATAATGTTAACATCACATACATAAACGTTAATATAACATACCATAACATAATGTTAATATAACATCATATACATAACATAACAATAACATAATATACCATAACATAATGTTAACATCACATACATAACATAACGTTAATATAACATACCATAACATAATGTTAATATAACATCATATACATAACATAACAATAACATAATCCCATAACATAATAACATCACATACATAACATAACGTTAATATAACATACCATAACATAATGTTAATATATCGTCACATACATAACACCTCAAATTCTCTGCACTCTTATTGGTGCAGTATTTTAACATTAGTGTATTATACTTAACATGAGTTAGTATGGCAGGCTATGTATGTGTATACCTGATGTATACCACTAGTATGTGTAGGCACATATTGTCCGTGAGTACTTCGTGTGGGCCATGTTTCGAGCAGATTTTGTGAGTGTTCGGAATACTGTGAGATGTTTCAAATAGCTGTCGAGATGTTTGTCGCAATTTAGGTGTTCAGAATGTGTGTTGGGGGATTCGAGACAGTTTTAGTGCGAAGTGTTCGGAATAGTGGGAATGTTGGGGGGGGGATTCGAACAGTTTTAGCGAGTGTTCGGAATGTGTGTTAGGCGATTCGAACAGTTTTAGCGAGTGTTTGGAATGTGTGTTGGGGAATTCGAACAGTTTTAGCGAGTGTTCGGAATGTGTGTTGGGGGATTCGAAGAGTTTTAGCGAGTGTTCGGAATGTGTGTTAGGTGATTCGAACACTTATTTCGCTAGGTATTAAATACGATACAAATTATTTAATTAAGTGTATTTACGTGTGCATGTACAGCATACGTATATATATGTGTGTACAGTGTACTTGTATACATAAAATATATGAGTATAGAGTATATTTCTGTGTATGTATTTCAAATACACATGTCCAGGTCGAGAATGATTTCTCTGTATACTAGTTGAATATATATGTGTACATGCATGTGGAACCCGCCTGCCTCTGCATGTGTCCATCCATCTCTACATACATGTAAAGCACTCTGATTCCTTGGAATGTACATTATATAGAATATCTCCCATTAGTGTATATATAATATAATATAATATATATATATATAATATATATATATATATATATATAATATATATATTTATATATATATATATTAAATATATATATTATATATATATATATATAATATATAATATATATATATATATATATATATATATATATATATATATATATATATATCGCTAGTATACCTACCTTTTAGCATACCAGTGTTTATATATTTATTGTCTATGAATGTTTATATATTACAAATGGTGTTTGGGACAAGCATGAGTGATGTATAGTTGGTGACCTTAATGGATGCGCAAAAAAGCTAAGTTAGTTGTGTGCTATGCGAGAACGAATGTCTGTAGCACCTACGTATGGGTGTAGCACCTACGTATGTCTGTAGCACCTACGTATGGGTGTAGCACCTACGTATTGGTGTAGCACCCAAGAATGAATGTAGCACCTACGAATGGGTGTAGCACCCAAGAATGAATGTAGCACCTACGAATGGGTGTAGCACCCAAGAATGAATGTAGCACCTACGAATGGGTGTAGCATCCAAGAATGAATGTAGCACCTACGAATGGGTGTAGCATCCAAGAATGAATGTAGCACCTACGAATGGGTGTAGCACCCAAGAATGAATGTAGCACCTACGAATGGGTGTAGCATCCAAGAATGAATGTAGCACCTACGAATGGGTGTAGCACCCAAGAATGAATGTAGCACCTACGAATGGGTGTAGCACCAAGAATGAATGTAGCACCTACGAATGGTGTAGATCAATGAATGTAGCACTACATGGGTGTACACCAAGAATGAATGTAGCACCTACGAATGGGTGTAGCATCCAAGAATGAATGTAGCACCTACGAATGGGTGTAGCATCCAAGAATGAATGTAGCGCCTACGAATGGGTGTAGCATCCAAGAATGAATGTAGCACCTACGAATGGGTGTAGCATCCAAGAATGAATGTAGCACCTACGAATGGGTGTAGCATCCAAGAATGAATGTAGAGCTTCAGAGAAGCACCAAAGAGAGGCGCAGACGGTCGCGTCAACCTCCTGGCATATAGATAAAATAGAGAATAAACAGGTTGATAGAGTAAGAGGCACGTAAATTCCTCCGTCTTCTAATAACATGTTCATTTTCCACTATAATCTATCTTGTCCATAATTACTATCGCATTTGCTTGGTATAACTTAACAAATCTGCAACACAATTGTCATCAAATACATGTATTTGTTAAGTTATACCATGAATTATGGAAAGATCCTGGACTTCACCTTACCAAACAGACAAAGCAAATGTGATATTAATCATGGGCGAGGTAGATTATAGTGGAGAAGCGAACATGTTATTAGAAGACGGAGCTCCGACTTACGTGCCTCTTAAGAGCTTCTCGTGCAACACTTGAGACTTTATTGAAACGTTTGCCCACAAATGGCTTCCTCATCCAGTACAGAGATGATTGTTAGTAAAGGACACAAGTAGCAACTATCAAATTGATTGTGGCAACTTCGTGTTCCAGAATTGAACGTTAAGATCCTGAATGGAAGTGTACACACAAAATGCGCATGTGCATTCCTACGCAAATTGTCGGTACATTCCAACGATAAGAAATGGTGAGCACTCAGAGGGTTTGAGTATCATCCTCAGAACTGAACATGTAATCGCCCTACGAATGGGTCGTGTATCATCCCCAATGGATCGAATGTATCAGCCCTACAACTGGTAGCATCGATGAATCGTCACCTCACGACTGGGTCGAGAACATCCCAGACTGAGTCGAGCTTCAAGACCCACAGACGGGCGACGTACGCGTCCCTCCATGGATCGATGTAAATAGACCTCAAACGAGTCTGTATCAGTCAGACGAGCCGAGTAAATCTCCCTCACATGGTTCATTATCATCCCCACTATACGATTATCAGTCCCTCATACTGATCGCATTTCGTCCCTCAGCATGATCGATTAACAAATCCTCAACACATTTGTCTCACAGATATTCGATTAATATACCTCAATTATCGAAAAATCCTCAGGACTTCACCTTACCAAACAGACTCAACAGAGTCGTGTATATAATCATGGGCGATGTAATTATAGTGGAGAACGAACATGTTATTAGAGACGGAGCGACTTAACGTGCCTCTAAGAGCTTATCAGTCAACAACTGAGGTCGTATTGGAAACGTTCTCGCTGACAAATGCTCCTCAGTTCATGTAACAGCAGATGATTGTTAAGTAATAGACCAATCAACTGATTGCGATAACAATCTATTGTGGAGACGTTTCTTCTCCAGGAGCTTGTGACAGCCTCGTTTGAGTCCATGGAAGTCCAGAAACGTTAGTCGCAATAAAATGTCGATGTAATAGCACCTTGTAGTCCATTTACATCCCAGATTGTCGGTAATTAATGCCAACTATATTAATCAGTAGGAGAAGGTGAGAGATCATCTCAGACGGAGTTCGATGGAATCAGTCCCTCAGACTGGAGTCGATGTAATCAGTCCCTCAGACTGGAGTCGATGTAATCAGTCCCTCAGCATGGAGTCGATGTAATCAGTCCCTCAGACTGGAGTCGATGTAATCAGTCCCTCAGCATGGAGTCGATGTAATCAGTCCCTCAGACTGGAGTCGATGTAATCAGTCCCTCAGACTGGAGTCGATGTAATCAGTCCCTCAGACTGGAGTCGATGTAATCATTCCCTCGAACTGGAGTCGATGTAGTCAGTCCCTCAGACTGGAGTCGATGTAATCAGTCCCTCAGCATGGAGTCGATGTAATCAGTCCCTCAGCATGGAGTCGATGTAATCAGTCCCTCAGCATGGAGTCGATGTAATCAGTCCCTCAGACTGGAGTCGATGTAATCAGTCCCTCAGACTGGAGTCGATGTAATCAGTCCCTCAGACTGGAGTCGATGTAATCAGTCCCTCAGCATGGAGTCGATGTAATCAGTCCCTCAGACTGGAGTCGATGTAATCAGTCCCTCAGCCTGGAGTCGATGTAATCAGTCCCTCAATCTTCATGGACTGATCACATCAAGTCAAGACTAAGGGACTGATTGCCTTAACTCCTGATCTTCAGCCATTCTTCTCTGTATTGGACTGAGAAAGTCACTGGTTGGTGAAACGTTTCCTTAGTAAAGATACCCAAGTGTTGCGCAATTGTCTAAGTCATCCTCCTCCTGTTGCTCTTATATACTGCTATAGATCCATAGTTACAGACTATGTCCATTGATCCCTCACTACAGAATAACAGTGTTCAGTTATTTGTATAGATATAGTAGTGTGTATAGCTGTGTTCGGCACTAGTGAAGCGAAGAGTGTAGAATCGTAGAGATAGATTAAATGTGTGTAGAGGTTGGGTAGAGGGGTGAAGAGGTAGGGTAGAAGGGTGTAGAGGTAGGGTAGAGGTGTGTAGAAGTAGGGTAGACGTGTGTAGAAGTAGGGTAGAGATGTGTAGAGGTAGGGTAGAGGTGTATAGAAGTAGGGTAGAGGTGTGTAGAAGTAGGGTAGTGGTGTATAGAAGTAGGGTAGTGGTGTGTAGAGGTAGGAGCAGAGCGGGACAATAGCGTGATTAGTGAGACAGTTTTGACGCGGCGTCTTACAGACTGTCGAGACGTGGATGCTGACGACATCATGATGGATGGTCAGACAGGCAACAAGAAGATGCCCAAAGATCACACGCAAGTCGACATCCCCATAGACGGGTTCGACCTCGTAGGTGAGTACCCCGAGTTGGGTTCATCTTCCTGGGTGAGTACCCAGAGTTGAGTTCATCTTCCTGGGCGAGTACCCAGAGTTGGGTTCATCTTCCTGGGCGAGTACCCAGAGGTGGGTTCATCTTCCTGGGTGTGTACCCTGAGGAACGGGTCTCCGACATTGCACTTTCCTAGCTTTTCTCGCCGACACCAAGCCTCTGAATGAGGGGCCCCTAACTGCCTGTATGAGGTTCCTGACTGCCAATACGAGGGCCTCTAGCTGTCTCTAGTCTACTTGGCTGTTAGTACTAGCAGCACGTAGCCCCCTACAGCCCTATTGATCAGGAACTGACCTGAAACCTAACGAATTTTCTCTTGTTAGGTAGAAGACAGGTGCAACGAATGTGACATTTACAAGGGCAACGTTTCGCTTTCCAGAGCTCCTGGACAGCGAAACGTTGCAGAAGTAAAATATCACATTAGTCGGATCTGTGTCCTTGTACCTAACATTTTGTCGGTAGTTCTACCAATATTACCGAGTATTGTCTTGACGACAGCTAGGGGATCTGTTGGCCGGTCACACATACACTCACCAGTATACCGTTGATGCTTCTACTCAGAGGAATTGGAGCTACCCTCCCTTTCCTCGGATCAAACTTGATCATAATGTAGATTACAGCATTACATTAGTAATGAACTTAAATGCTTTGTCTGCAACTTATTAGATGGATTCTTTTATCTAATTTTCACCGCTTCTAAAACATTAGAATCATTTTGATCCTAATTTTGATGAAAAAAAAATATAAATTTCCTAAAACTGTTTGAAAATATTAAAAAAAAAGTGAAAATATTGTGAAATATCAAGATATTTCATTTAATTCTTTATCAGTTAAGTTTTAACATGTTTCATTTTTGTGTTTCCTGTGTATTGCTCCTGAAATTCTGGTGTTACGGCTCTACATTAGTGAGCAGTCGTTGTTGTGGTGTCAGTTATGTAATGTGTGAGTGTAATGTTACTCAGACATTTAGCACTTTTCTCTTACTCTCTCTCTCTCTCTCTCTCTCTCCTCCTCTCCTTCTCTCTCCTCTCTCTTCTCTTCCTCTCTCTCTCTCTCTCTCTCTCTCTCCTCTTCCTTCACATACCTCATCTGAGCCTGACTCTCTCAACTCTTTCCTCACCTCTCTCTCTCCTTGTCTTTAATTCTCATCTGAACACTTTAACCTGTTCCCCCATTCAGAGACGTGCTCATGCTGATAAAGGCCTCTTATTCAAGAATTAGAGCTACCCTCTCCACCCTCGTCAACTGATACCCTCGTCTCTCAGGCTTGTATAATTCCTACGAGTTTGAACACCTCCTTAACGTGTAATATATAAAACCTCGCATTTACCGATTATACGGAAGGAAGAAGTGGCCAGGTGATTGCGATTATGGTGTAGAGTACATTGTTGCCGTGATTGTAACAATAAGGACAATTCCGTACAACGGACTTCCCTTTGATAATAATTCGTAAGACCGTATTGTAAAAAATCCCGTAGATGTGGAATAAGCTAATAAAACTCGTTTAAAACTTAACGCACCCGAACCGTACCTGGTTGACTTGTATTTGGTTCGTATTAGTTGACTAGGAATTGTCTGTGTTTCGTGATGTTGTTAAATCGAAGTTGTTTATCCTTGATAAACATACGTACCTATGTTCTTTTTGATTAATGAATTGTAAGAACCGTTGTAAAACAAAACACGGTATAAAAGAAGGGATAGGAGCTCAGCAACAAAGTTGCTGTAAACCACGCCAGCACAACCGTACCTGGTTAGACTGTAATTTGTTTGAGTAGTGACCAGCGAATGGTCTCGTGTTTACGCTGAGTCTGTTAAAATCGAGGTTTGTTTACTTGCATAACATTCACTGCCTCCTCACGGTATTTCTTTTTGTCTCTGCAGATGGCAAGATGAAGAGCAACTCGGTGCTCAACAACAGCAAACACATCGGGAACTCCATCAGCAAAGACAACCGCGGCGAGATCATCGAGAACGACTACAGCAACAAGAAGGTTCGCCTGGAGGAAGACGCCCTCAGCAACAACTCTCTGGGTTCCCACAAGAACCGCAAACTGAAGAGCGACAGCGGCAGCCACAAGGGTTCCTCAGAGTCCCTCGACGACGGCGAGGAGAAGAAAGATGCGAGTAAGGAGGACCTGGAGGATGGTATGCTACTTGATGGTACACTCACTCGCACTCTGCTCTCGTTTGTTCTTAGGCTTAAGTTGTAGGCAACGGGAGAGGAGGTCAGACTTCGATGCTGCCGCCCCTCCCAACCACAACGCTAACCACACTTCACTCACAATACAGAACCAAGTCAGGGCGAACAAATGCAAATTACATTTTGGGGGCCTTAATGAATAATGGATTTGATAACTAGTTTCAAGAAGTAAATGTTGGAGAGAAGGTAGGAACATTGTGCATTTGTTGTGGTGAGCGTGTGTGTGTGTGTCGATACTGGATGCCTCTTCCATCGCTTCTTGTACGATGGTGCTTCAGTGCTTGCTGTTTATATACCCTGTGATTCCCATTGCTTTCAGTGCCACTACCCTCCCAATGGGGCCTCTGAACCACTTCCCCCAACCCTCATTTCCAGCATTTGTAGTCATTCTCCCTTCCTCTGTATATGGGTGAAATTATTTTTACTCATTCTATTTTTCCTTTTGGATCTTGCTGCTTCCAGTGCCACTACCATCCGTAAGGGGCCTCTGAACCACTCTCCCCACCCCTCACCTCCAATGTTAGTGCAGTCACTACCCCTTCCTGGCATCGCAGTTACCAATACTCCTTATTCTATTTAGTCTTGATTTTATTTCCCAACCTTAGTAGCTTTCACTACCACTACTTTCCTTATGGAACCATTGAACTACTTCCACCTACCCCCTTCACCATACGTAGAGCTCTACTTATTTCCTCTTCCCTTCCATAGGGGTAATTTGAACCACCTCCCCCCGCTCCCCATCTTCATCGCCTCTAATAGTCACTAGTCTCTCACACTATTTTCAGTGCCACCTCATTCTCTCGTAGGAGTCTGAGGTCACTTCCCTTCGTGTTTAACGTCAGTGCCCCGCCACTTTCCTCTTGCTCTTGATTCTTCTTAGAGTCTTCGAAATGTTACTTCCTAGGAGGAGATGGCCGACTGCCAGGTATTAAGACACAGGCCGCAGGCCAAGCTTTTGTCAGGACGACTTTTCGCCCTATGAAAAAACGGTATCATGATTTAATGAAAATTTAAACATTGTCCCAAGATGAAAGCTTGTTCGAAACGTGTCTGTCCGATGTAAGCTTGTTCGAAACGTGCTTCTCTTGTCTAAATGGCACATCGAGCTTCTTCGATTTCAATACCTGGAGCTCCTTTGATCTCAATACCTGGAACTCTTCGATCTCAATACCTGGAACTCGTTTGATTTCAGTACCTGGAGCTCCTTCGATCTCATAACCTGGAGTTCCTTCAATCTCAATACCTGTAGCTCCTTCGATCTCAATATCAATGCCTGGAGCTCCTCTGATCTCAGTACCTGGAGCTCCTTCGATCTCAATATCTGGAGCTCCTTCGATCTCAATATCAATACCTGGAGCTCCTTCGATCTCAGTACCTGGAGCTCCTTCGATCTCAATATCTGGAGCTCCTTCGATCTCAATATCAATACCTTGAGCTCCTTCGATCTCAATACCTGGAACTCCTTCGATCTCAATACCTAGAGCTCCTTCGATCTCAATACCTGGAACTCGTTTGATCTCAGTACCTGGAGCCCCTTCGATCTCATTACCTGGAGTTCCTTCGATCTCAATACCTGGAGCTCCTTCGATCTCAATATCAATGCCTGGAGCTCCTCTGATCTCAGTACCTGGAGCTCCTTCGATCTCAATATCTGGAGCTCCTTCGATCTCATTATCAATACCTGGAGCTCCTTCGATCTCAGTACCTGGAGTTCCTTCGATCTCAATATCTGGAGCTCCTTCGATCTCAATATCAATACCTGGAGCTCCTTCGATCTCAGTACCTGGAGTTCCTTCGATCTCAATACCTGGAGCTCCTTCGATCTCAGTACCTGGAGTTCCTTCGATCTCAATATCTGGAGTTCCTTCGATCTCAATATCAATGCCTGGAGCTCCTCTGATCTCAGTACCTGGAGCTCCTTCGATCTCAATATCTGGAGTCCTTCGATCTCAATATCAATGCTGGAGCTCCTTCGATCTCAATTATCCTGGAGCTCCTTCGATCCTCAGTACCTGGAGTTCCTTCGATCTCAATACCTGGAGCTCCTTCGATCTCAGTACCTGGAGTTCCTTCGATCTCAATATCTGGAGTTCCTTCGATCTCAATATCAATGCCTGGAGCTCCTTCGATCTCAATACCTGGAGTTCCTTCGATCTCAATATCTGGAGCTCCTTCGATCTCAATATCAATGCCTGGAGCTCCTTCGATCTCAATATCTGGAGTTCCTTCGATCTCGATATCAATGCCTGGAGCTCCTTCGATCTCAATATCAATGCCTGGAGCTCCTTCGATCTCAATATCTGGAGTTCCTTCGATCTCAATATCAATGCCTGGAGCTCCTTCGATCTCAATATCAATGCCTGGAGCTCCTTCGATCTCAATACCTGGAGTTCCTTCGATCTCAATTCAATGCCTGAGCCTTCCCATCTCAATATCAATGCCTGGAGCTCCTTCGATCTCAATACCTGGAGTTCCTTCGATCTCAGTATCAATGCCTGGAGCTCCTTCGATCTCAATATCAATGCCTGGAGCTCCTTCGATCTCAATATCTGGAGTTCCTTCGATCTCAATATCAATGCCTGGAGCTCCTTCGATCTCAATATCAATGTCTGGAGCTCCTTCGATCCTCAATTCAATCTGGAGCTCCTTCGATCTCAATATCAATGCCTGGAGCTCCTTCGATCTCAATACCTGGAGTTCCTTCGATCTCAATATCTGGAGCTCCTTCGATCTCAATATCAATGCCTGGAGCTCCTCTGATCTCAGTACCTGGAGTTCCTTCGATCTCATATATCTGGAGCTCCTTCGATCTCAATATCAATGCCTGGAGTTCCTTCGATCTCAATATCAATGCCTGGAGCTCCTTCGATCTCAATATCAATGCCTGGAGCTCCTCTGATCTCAGTACCTGGAGTTCCTTCGATCTCAATATCTGGAGCTCCTTCGATCTCAATATCAATGCCTGGAGCTCCTCTGATCTCAGTACCTGGAGTTCCTTCGATCTCAATATCTGGAGCTCCTTCGATCTCAATATCAATGCCTGGAGCTCCTCTGATCTCAGTACTGGAGTTCTTCGATCCATATTGGAGCTCCTTCGATCTCAATATCAATGCCTGGAGCTCCTCTGATCTCAGTACCTGGAGTTCCTTCGATCTCAATATCTGGAGCTCCTTCGATCTCAATATCAATGCCTGGAGCTCCTTCGATCTCAATATCAATGCCTGGAGCTCCTTCGATCTCAGTACCTGGAGCTCCTCGATCTCAATTCATCTGGAGCTCCTCTGATCTCAGTACCTGGAGTTCCTTCGATCTCAATATCTGGAGCTCCTTCGATCTCAATATCTGAGCTCCTTCGATCTCAATATCTGGAGCTCCTTCGATCTCAGTACCTGGAGCTCCTTCGATCTCAATATCTGGAGCTCCTTCGATCTCAGTACCTGGAGCTCCTTCGATCTCAATATCATGCCTGGTGTCTCAGATCTCAGTACCTGGATCCTTCGATCTCAATATCTGGAGCTCCTTCGATCTTAGTAATCTGGAGCTCCTTCGATTCAATTTTCTTGGAGCTCTTCGATCTCATTCCTAGGAGTTCTTCGAAACTCAATATCTGGAGTTTCCTCGATCTCATTCTGAAGCTCCTTCGAGCTCAATATTACTTTCATTATTCCTGAGCTTGTCAGGAAATTCTCATTTCTTATACTTTCATATATATCCTTTCCAATGAATCTCCTTTCCATATGTTTTTCAATTTGAAATTCTTCTTCTCATCTATTAATTAGCTCTCCGATGCATATTTCCTGAAGGATTGTCAGTGAATCCCATTATCTAATTCATATAAGATGGAATTGTCAATGTGAAGTTTCCTCTCATTGGGTCTAAGGATTTCAGTCGAAATTCTTCATTTTCTAAGTTTCAGATTTCAGAATCTCTTCTAAGATTTTCAGTCAAATTCTCATTTTCTTAGAATTTAGTGAAATTCTCACTTTCTGTAGTTTTCAGTGAAATTCCCCCTTTCCCATGGAATTCATTTCCCATTGTTTTTCATGATCTTAAAGTCTCTTCCGACACCATAAAGCTCACCTCAACAGATGCATAGTGTCCTGGAACCGACTTAGCATCACCAGTAAGTTCCCAGACGATCTATCTAGATGCATAGAGAGAGATGGATGGCAGCTCGAACCGTGGTCCTCTCATGTGGGAGTCTCAATGCGCTTACCACCGAGCTTACAAAAGAATGACTCTTACAGCCTGTACTTCTGTTGGTGCCGCTGATACTGACGCGCCACAGAAATGCTCTACGCAAAGAAAATTATTCGGCTCAGTGATAACAACCTCGGGCCTGCAGATTGTATGTACCGGGGTTCGAATCCCCGTTCAGTATTTTTTTTTTTTGTGGGGTGGGAAGGGGAGGCTCATGATCTGTTTGGATATATATCTAAATATATGGAGATTTATCTGGATAACTAATTATCTATGCGGATATATATCTAGGGATATGGAGTCTATTTGGATAACTATCTATCTGGACATGTATTTAGGAATATGGAGATCTATCTGGATGACTAATTATCTGTCTGGATATATATCTAAAGATATGAGATTATCTGGATAACTATCTAATTATTATTATTTATTATTATTTTTATATATATATATATATATTATATATATATATATATAATATATATATATATATATATATATAATATATATATATATATATATATATATATACATGGAAAGCATATAAATCTATAGGGGAAGGAAAGAGGGGTAGGGGTCGTCCTCGAAAGGGTTGGAAAGAGGGGGTAAAGGAGGTTTTGTGGGCGAGGGGCTTGGACTTACAGCAAGCGTGCATGAGCGTGTTAGATAGGAGTGAATGGAGACGAATGATACTTGGGACCTGACGATCTGTTGGAGTGTGAGCAGGGTAATATTTAGTGAAGGGATTCAGGGAAAC